CCGGGGTGGTAGCACCAGTAAGGGTCCCAGTTATGAGCAAACTGTTAACCCCTCAAACTGGGGTCAAAACACTATGAAAGTATAAAAACACATTTTTATAGTAAAAATACCAGCGATACATTTTTGAAAACGTACAAATTTTAAACACGACAAAAAAACTCTTTGCAAAAATACCTCAATGAAACTTGATCTAACAACTATTTTTTACAAAGAATACATATTCTATTCATACGAACATACCCTAAATATCTTGTCGGCATTAAACAACCCATTGAGGTTTGATATGCCGTAAAACAAAATAAACTAAACCAAAACCGAAAGATAGCGATTGACATTGAATTGATCAAATTTTTGAAGATCGTTGGTGCAAGAAGCCAGAAGAGTTCTAAATGCGAGGAAAGAAACTAGGAGAATAGAACTTATGGTTATATCTAACTATCTAAAGAGTAAAACAATAATACTTAATTGTCAATCTAGTAGTACGCTTAAATTCATGCGGTCGATGTACCAAGGAAGAAAAAAGTTCATTAGGACCATTGCTATAAAAATGACACAGGAAAGCCACGGTCTAAAAGTGACTGAAAATTCACCCAGAAGACTCATCAAAAAACAACTACTTTTGAGTACTCACAATGAAAATAATATAACGCGACATAGCAAACTGAACCATTTTACTGTATTATCCGATTGACAGTTATTCAATTTTTGTCGCCATTAATAAATCTGGAAGAAAATTACTTTAAAGAAGTCGCATATTTTTATGTACGCCAACAAGTCAGGCTAACACAACGTCAGTGTTCAGGGACGCCAGTCTAAAACATTATAATTACAAGCAAGTGTTATCGCTATAAATATACTATAATGTTAGTGTACACCAGTCAAAATCGCCAGAAAAGTAACCATGTCTAAATAAGGCACGCCTCACTATATGGCTACAAGTACTATCAGTACAAGGGCACGCCAGTTTTAAAAAAAAAACTGTAACAAAATCCAAGACCGGATATAGGCCTTAACAGCACCCTTGGGCTAACAGAATTTAAGGATCTTTCATTATTTATGTTTGCCCTCCCCTCCGTGTCTATAAAAAAGATATATTTTTAGTTGATGTTTTTTGGTGTCAAACATGAAACACTTCAACTAAAATTTATTTCGTTAGCAACTTCAAGATATTTTTATCTGAATTTTATCAAAGGGGCCCCATAGAATTTAAACGATCCACTGCGACTAGAAGTGCCCCGGAACTCGAAACAGTTTCAAATTAGTTCAAAAGAGCCCTGTTAAATCTGAAAATAAACAAATCTATTTTGTTCTTATATCTTTTTTTTTAGTTTTATCAGGGGCCGAAAAGCCCTCTAGTTTTTTGGGCCTCTGGGCTGCAGCCCATACGTAAATCCGGCACTGACTGTAGCCCGTTGTTAATGGCGTTTTTCCAATCTGAGGCACAAGACACCCAGTGAGGATCAAACTCACTCTTCAGTCGTAATTGATCTATCGAGACAGGCTTGCTAACCATTACACCAAGAAGCGCCTATAATGATAGCTGAGTTGTGGCACATGGCCGAATGTATGTGGTACCTAGTGAGGATCGAACTCACTACTCAGTCATTACTGACGTAGTGAGACAAGCTTGAAACCTGATTGTTAATGTACACCAGTGTGTATCACTAAGTACGAAGGTACTCTAAACTAAAACACTTATATTTACATCATAGTATGTATGCATGACCGCTCGTATCGGTGTATACCTATCTGCTAGGGTGGGTAGCTAATTCGTTGCTGACCGCTGCTCAGTTAAATTCGTGTTTCGCCATGCCTACAGAACTAACCTGTAGCTTATATTAAAACTTTGCTGAATGTACCTTAGTTACTGGGGGAGAGTGCATAATCTAGTGTGATAAACCGTTTGAACTAGGCCAGCCCGCTCAAACTCTCGGCCATGATGACTTGTGACTTTGTGCTAGTACAAACATTGACGGTTTTTAAACAGTTCCGTCTACCCAATTTGACTCATAAGGCGAATCCTTGGTATGGTCTTCAGATCTTGACAACGGTTTCGCGTGTTGGCATCGTCTCACCAGGCCGATATTATGAAGAAGTTACTTCCCTGACTGTTATATAGGAATAAAGTGTCACTGCCGACTCTTGAGTTTGAACATAGATCGCCAGTGAGCAAGCACAGGCGATCCTATTATTGAATTAAGTAGACCACGTGACCACAGAGGAAACGCGTATATGGGAGGTAGCGTGTGTCTAATTGATCGTTATTCCTACTCTATCCTCTATGCTATTCGGATCTGTATTTCTACTCTATCCTCTGTTACTACCGCTATTCTCTACTCTATTCACTATACTATTCCTCTTTTCGGATCACTATACGGGTTACTTATCGAATAAGTATTATCGAGCAAGTACTATTAGTGCGAGTGTTATTCGAAAGCGTCTGATACCAGCATTGTTCAACGGCGTCACTATAGTTGTATCTGCGATTACAAAGTGTCTACTACAACGAGCATTACGAAAGTGACGAGTATTCGTTGGCATCACAAAAGTGGCAAAGAATGTTCGTTGACATCACAAAACTGACAAATCGACTTTGCTGAAATTCAAAGTAATGTGAACGCTAACGCTCTAACCACTGTGCCATACGCCCACTTACAACTCAGTGCTGTTGCAATAAATAGGCTTAAATACCAAAGTACACCGTTTATTGTCATTCCCCTGCGGAGTATATGTCCACAGCCTCACCACGCTAGATATTGCTGTTGTAGTTTCTGGGGCACGTAGGCTTTTACCGTGTGCAATTGTCAGCCCTATGTCCAAACGATTTTAAATATACAGTTATTGTTCCCCTAGACAGTTTGCCAACAAGAGTGTCTTGTCTATCCTGTTATTTAATATATCGCACGTGAAAGAAAAAATAACGGATTCATAGCATTCCCATTTTTACTTTTGTGAAAAGTGATTGCAAAGAGCTCGGCCGGAATTTGAACTCGACATTCTGATTTCTCTTCCGGCGTCGCAAACAACAACTAAAAACCAGTATAATCATCTCCTTGTCATTATTAAATTAGTGTAATGTAAAAGTACAGGAATCTCTCTATTAATACGCATTCGATTAATGTTTTCATTTATGTACCAAAATTCGATTAGGGCATATATAATATTCAATTAGTATGGTAGAACATTCTTCAGTGTAAACATAGTAATTGAAAATTAATTTTTTTATAGTTACCAATTAATTAAAAATTTTCTAAAATTTAAAAATGGAAAATGTCTATTTTCTTTGTCAAGTATTACGTTATCTGTAATTACAATAGTGTTAAAAAAGGGGCGCTTATAAATAGATAAATTTTATAAGCCGATAATAAAAATATATGTTTGAATATTTGTTTATATTAAAAAATTTTGAATATTTTGATTATTTTAATGTTTATTTTGAATGCCTTAAAAAGAAATTTCGTTAAAAAAAAAATGGACGATTTAATTAGATACAGACATTTACATTTATTAAGAAATCTCGAGATATAAAAGATATATGCATTTACTATGGAAAGATTATAAATAAAATTTTCAGGTTAAAATACTAAAGCTTATGATATGAATTTCAAAAAATAGAAAATATGTACCTACCTTTTAATTAAAAAGTACGCAAATTAGAAATTAACTGTGGATGGGACTAAAATTTGAGGTACAAATTATATCATTTCCTATAAGTTATTAGATTCGATTAATGCGTTTTCAATTAATGCGTATCATTTAATCCGCCCTAATCGAGGTATTCCTGTACGTGCAATTTTTTTTTTTTTTTTTTTATCACGACACATGTTGTATTACTAAATCCCGATTAAAATAGACTGGCGTGCTGGCGTACATTAAAATAAATAAGCCATTTCACAATATTTCTTTGTCAAATGATAATATTTTGTCTGAGTTGGATTTAAAAAACTATCTAAGATACAACAAGCTATAGATGCAACCGTCACTTTTATTCTAATAGTTTCTTTTTTCATGTTCGTCACCTGTGAAACTCTCTTCTGATTTCTTGTTTCCCATTCACCTACAATCTTCAAAAATTTAAATGCAAGCATCTATCGCCACCTTCTGTCTTCCTGAACCCTGTTGCTTTATTGTCCTTTCCGCACTTCGCCTCACTAATGTCTTCCCATTCTCTTTAACTCTCAGTAACCCCTTGCCTTCCTAGTGGCATTATGTTCTGTCTTCTGGATATCTGTTCTTTTATTGTCCGTTTTCTTCACTTCTCCTCACTAAAGTCTTCTCTCTCTCTCTCTCTCTCTCTCTCTCTCTCTCTCTCTCTCTCTCTCTCTCTCCCAGTGACATTATCGCCTTACTTGGGGTGAAAATAAATTCACAATTTAAAACTTTTTTTTTTATTTCTTTTTTCTTTTGATTGATTGATTCGTTTTTAACGGCTTATCAACCCTTTGCAGGTTATTTAAAGCCAGAAAATATTTTTAGATTGTAAGAATATATTTTGGTGATAATAATGGTTTAAAAGTCTTACTAATTTCTTCTTTTTATTTCTTGTGCTTAATCAGTAGATTGATTGATTGATTCGTTTTTTACGGCTTAGCAACCCTTTGCAGGTTATTTAAAGCCAGACAATATTTTTAGATTTTAAGAATATATTTTGGCGATAATAATGGTTTACAAGTCTTACTAATTTCTTCTTTTAATTTCTTCTGCTTAATCAGTAGATTGATTGATTGATTCGTTTTCTACGGCTTATCAACCCTTTGCAGGTTATTTAAAGCCAGAAAATATTTTTAGATTAGAATAACTTCTGGTTTTTGGGAGATAATAATAGTTTTAGTGATACAAGTCTGACTAATTAACCCGTACCTGGGGAGAAGAGGTGGATTCATACATTTCCTAAGGGTAATTGGACATGAGTAATTATAACAAACCCAACCAAAATAGGAACCCGGCTCTCCGATTAATAATTCCGAGCCATTATCCATTACACCACCCGCACGCCCACGCTTACAGCACCCGGTATTCCCAAGCGGTCACTCATCTAGGTATTGACCAGGCTCGACGTTGCTTAACTTCTCTTATCGTACGGGAATTGGTTTTTCAATATCATACGGCCATAAGCCTAGCCACTTTTTGTGTGTGTGTGTGTGTGTGTGTGTGTGTGTGTGTGTGTGTGTGTGTGTGTGTGTGTGTGTGTGTGTGTGTGTGTGTGTGATTGGTGGGGTGCGGCATTTTCAGCAAAATGTTTTGAAGCAGAAATTGATCCTAGCAATACACGTACGCACGTACACCAACGTCAAAAGTACGCGTACTTCTACAAATGTACACCAGGTTATCCTGGAGGATATAATTAGATCGAAAGAAAAAGCAACATGGTGAGTGTCGTCTGCCTAAAGATCAAAGATGTTGTCTGGCTATTGACTATGGCTCGTCATGTTAATCCGTCTCTCGCTAGCTAATCCGATAAAAGATGATCCCAAGGTCAAGTGTCCCCCTTTTTAGAAAATATGATTGTCTTTTCTTTAATTTCGCTTTCTTTATTTCCTAGCAATTTGCTTTTATCTTTTGTAGGTCTTTACTGTTTGATCACCATCTTATTTGTTCGTGTTTTTTTTCTGCCATTTTCCACGTCTCTTTCTATTTTATTCGTAATATTTGTACTATTTGCAAATTTTTATTTGAGATTTATCCTTCATCTGAAAATTTCCATTTTGCTGCTTCCAGTTGATTTTTGATTTTTTCTTATCTACCCTTACTTCTTTCTTTCTTTCTCATTTCTTTGCATTTTATCTTGTTTTTGTTTTTTTGTTTTTTTTTTTTTCGCTCTTCTTCGTTTCTTTTTTGATTGATAGTTTCTTTCTTTCTGTTTCCATTTCTTTCTTTCTTTTGAAATTTCTTTCTTTTTATTTTCTCCTTTCTGTGCATTGTCACTTTTTTATTTTCATTCATTCTTTGTTTGCGTCTTTCTTTCTTTCGATCTTCATATCTTTCTTTTTTCTATTTCTTTCTTTCTTTGCATTTTCATCTTTTCTTTTTTCATTCATTCTTCTTTCTTTCTTTCTTTCTTTCTTTCTTTTTCCATTTCTTTCTTTTTCTATATTTCATTCTTTTCATTTTCCCGCTTTTTTACTTACATTTTCATTTTTTCTTTTTACTTTTTTCATTCACCTTTCTTTCTTTCTTTATTTCTTTCTTGCTTTCTTTTCATGTTCCCTTTTTATTTTCTTCTTTCTTTCTCTTCTGTCTTTATTCCTTTCTTTCTAATAATTTCTGTTTTCTTTCTTTTTTATCTCTCATTCTTTCTTTATTCTCCTTGCTTTCTTTCATGCTTTCTTTTTTTTCTTAATCTTCATTTTCCATCACTAATTTTTTATCTCCTTTTCTCTCTCTCTCTTTTCTGTCTGTTCCTTTTTACACACACACACACTCTTCACACACAGACGCATATACACATTTTCGTGATTCTTAATATTTTCTTTAAAACTTCCTCATTGTTCATATGTTCTGTCCATGCCATTCTCAATTTCTAATTTTTCACGTTTCTTCTTTTATCTCATTTCTTACATTTATTTTAATTGTATATCTTTATTCTAAATTTGATAAAATCTTTTTGGAGTTTCGACAGTAAAAGTTCGGATTTTCGCGTTTTTTTTACTGGCGTTGTTTGCATACATTCGCTGCGGAATCAGGAATATTCATTTGTCCTGATTATTGCTAAAATATAGGTCTCTTTGCGCAGTAACAGAGACAAGTTGAGACAAGTAAGATCAGTAAACAATGCCGTTAACTACGTTCTCTTCCGCGTTTAGCTTTCTGCAGCATATGTACGCAAATAACACACACGACACAACACACGATAACTCCAAAACAGTAGATTTTATCAAACACACAATGAAACATGTACAATTACACATAAATGTAAGTATTCTGAAATTTTAATGCGAACAGAGCGCGATGGCTAAACTGCAAATTAACAAATGTTTGTACCTTCTTCATTTTTTTGACGTTTTTTTGTGATAAAAATCACGCAATGCAAGACTCAATAACAATTCGGGGTACAGGGTTGTTCTTAAAATGGTAACGATGAATAAGATGGGTGATATGAATGAAAGAGTTGTTGGTAGGAAATTTAAAGATTTTAGGTAACGATTGACCATTGACTCGAAGAGATTACGATTGTAGCGGCCAAAGAAGCACCCACAGGGGAGTTTGTTCTACAAACTGGCAGTTGTTGGGCAAATGCTCGCTGAGTGAACTTCTTTCTTATATTTGGTTTGGTTGGTTTGATTTGGTTTATTTTGTTTTACGTCATATCAACACCTCAATGAGTTATGTAATGCCGACAAGATTTTAGGATAGCTTCGTATGAATAGAGTATGTATTATTTGTAAGAAATCAGTTTGTAGATCAGGTTTCATTTATTTTTTTTTTTGTTGAGAGTCAAATGTAATTTTGTTTTTGTTTTTGTTTTTAATGTATTTCTGGTAATATTTTTCCAAAAATGTATCGCTGGTATTTTTACTATAAAAAATCTATTTTATACTTCCATAGTGTTTTGATCCCATATAGCTGGGACCCTAACAGGTGCTACCACCTTGGGTCAGAGTGGACCTGAGAACAACAGCAATTAAGAAGTGGCTCGACGCTCATCAAAACTTCTCGATCAGAGGCCTTGCTGCCGGATATAGTTTATCGTCATACCTAGGACGCCTTATATTTGTGACACGGGAAAAATAAGAGCGAGTCCTTGGAAGTAGTATAGCGTGCTTTAGTTGAACTAAGGAATGGACCGTATCAGCATATTTACTATTGAATAGCGATAGAGTAGACGTTTTGTGTTTGTGGAAAGAGGCTTCAAAGTGAAGAAAATATCTCAGAATTGATCAGTTCCAGTCCAGATATGGAAGCAATGATCCATTTTGGGGTCTAATCTGATTCTTGTAAAGTTAAAGCTTAGCAGAAGGAGGAGGAAAATGAACCGACTATCTTTTCCAATATGTAGGACACTTGTAGTCTTCCTGCAAACAGTTTTTACGGTTTACCAACCTTTTGCAAGTTACTTAAAACAACATTTTTTAGACTGATAATAATGATTTCTCGATACATGTCCTACTTTTTAACCTATAGCTGGCGAGAGAAGAGTTGGATTTATACCTTTCCCAAGAGAATGAACCCGAATAGAGTGCCGAGTTCCAATTCCAAGGAATTATCCATTACACCACCCGCATACCCAAGCTTACAGCATCTAGCACCCACCTTGGTACTAACATGGATCTAACAAGATAAGCTTGCTAACCATTACACCACGGCAGAGTACCGATGGTGATTTACTAAGTAACGACGTTGAAAATGTTGAAAATATGTGCAACCCTGTGAGGATCGAACTCACTTTCCTAATTGTCCTAGCGAAACAAGCTTGCAAATGTTAATGTACACCAAATATCGTGTAGATTTTACAGCAAAATAATGTACGGATGGCCGCTTGTATGCCGGTGTAAGCCTATATGCTCGGGTGGGTAGCTAATCCCTGACGCCTCCTCAGGTAATTTTTTGTTTCTTCATGTCTACTGAGCCAATCTGTGGTTTATATTGCAACTATGCTGAATGAACCTTAGTTACTGTGAGAGAGCACATAATCTAGCGTGATCTAGGCCAGCCTACTCAAACCCACGGTCATGATGACTTGTGACTTTGTGCTAGCACAAACATTGACGGCTTCTGAACGGTGACTGAACGGGAACCGATGTTCTAAAGTGATATGGCCGTAAGCCGACTAAACTAGTGTTTATTATAAATAAGAGAGCTTTGCTGAGTGCTTCAAGTGACCTTGTGCCATGTTCATTTAAACTGATTAAATATCAAACGTATTTTCATTTTCATGTCTCATCGCCCACTCCCACAAATCATATTGAAAGGAATAATAACAGATTGTAATAGCAAGTAAACCTAAGTAATGAGCTTGTGTAAACAGTTGGCAGAATATCCAGGTAGAGACAAACATTACAAGGGATAGGAAGATGTGAAGAGCCATAGTCACCTAGCTCCTAAAGGGACACGAAACATAAAAGAAGAATCCCCCTCATCTCCCTCCTCTCTCTCTCTCTCTCTCTCTCTCTCTCTCTCTCTCTCTCTCTCTCTCTCTCTCAGTTCTTCATTTCGTGTCTTTGTTTAAAAAAGAAAGCGTTAAAAAATAACATTTTCTTCTGTTTCCAATGACATTTCATTGAAAAGCACAGCTGCCAAACTTTCTCGTTTTATTCCCAAAATCATTTCCTACTGTTTACTTGATGTAACATGATAAATAGAATAGTATCGTTAAACTGAGACTTTTTGTTTTCTTCCGCTTCTATATTTTTTACGTTTCTTTTACTTATCTATCTATTTATCTATCTATTTTTGGTGTTTACTAAGCTTTGTTTATTGCGGTAGAAGAACAATTGAAAAAAAAAAGATTGTATTCGCTAATTTTGCAAATGAATTCTAAGAAAGAAAAATCAAAATCTTACTTATTATAAAACGCAGGTTGTGTGTGTATGTGTGTGTCTGTACGTTTATATATTGGATCGGATTTCCTACATTTTTCAACCGATTTCAACAAAACTTCATAAGACTACGTAAAATTACCTTGCGGTGGTTCTGACAGCGCCAAAAATTGGAAAAACACGATTGTTTTTGCACGAAATCAATTTGAAAACACAAATAAGAAGCATCGCTGTCACAAGAATGAAAGGGGCACAACTCATATCGAGTTATACTTATTATAAACCCAGGTTGTTTGTGTGTGTGTGTGTCTGTGTTCATTTATACATGGGATCGGATTTCCTACATTTTTCAACCGATTTCAACAAAACTTCACTTTTTTGGCAGGTAGTGTTTCTTATTGTCTTGCACACTTTTTTCTTTATTTTTACATTCTGGATGCTTTAAAAATTCCATTTACAAGACAGAATTGTTTATAATAAAATTCTATTCAATCGATAGATTCATAACGATTGAAAACAATGTTTTTGTTTGAGTTTGGGTTTGGCCAATTCGTAAAAAAAAAACCAAACAAACAAAAATCTAATTAAGACATGCGTGTCCGTCAACCTTAAACAATAATCTTTGTCAATTTT